TGGCTCTGGGGGGGTTAATAAAGGCTTTCTGAAGTGAAGTGATGCGTTCATGTAAGAAAAATATCCACATTTAAAATTTTATCAACTAAAATAACTAGCTTCAGACAGGTGACCTACGCAAGTCGACTTGCGCCACAAGAATAACACTTGACGATGGATGAGTAGTGTACGCTTTGACGCCTCTCATTTCAAACAAAAAAGGGCTGGGCTATAAACTCAAGCTCCTCCCATATTTATCTTTAAAATGGTCATTTTATACTTCTAATTTGTGTCTGGTGTTTTGTTTTGCTCTATCCTCTGTGCTTCCGCGTTTGTCATTAAGCTGTGCATCAAGGTCAAGGGTTCAAGGTAAATAGATGTGTATGGCCGTCTGCCAGAAGCTAGTTATTTTAGTCAATAAAGTTTTAAATATGGATATTTTTCTTACACGAATGCATCACTTCAGAAGGCCTTTATTAACACCCCAGAGCCGTGTGGATGCACTTTTATCATGGATGGATGCACTTTGATGGACTTTGAAACTTAAACGGCCATTATAAAGCTTGGAAGAGCCAGGGCATTTTACAGACACCACAAACAAATAAACGTTAAAAAACAACAACAATCACTACGACAAATTACACGATCTAAACAACCTAACTGCATTCGAAATAAAAGACCTTCTAAATCGCTCTGTAGAACATTGGCATTACCAATCTTCCACTAAAAAATGAGCTTTTAAGTCCACTAAAGGTACAATGTAGTGGATGACCTTTGTAACACATAATACTTTTTAATTTTGCCCTTGTTTTCTTGTTCACAGTAATCTCAATTGAATCAGGATTAAGGCCAATAACCGAGAGTGATACTACAGTGATACTACACCCCCAACAGAGTATTGCATGAAACAAAACACTAGCTATGATTCCCTGATAAAAAAACATAAAGAAGCTTCCTATCCACAAGTTTCCTACGCCCCATGAGGCCTTGCGTCAAAAGTGGGCGCGACTTCCGGTTGGAAGTAAACAAAGGGCGATTTGACATGCTTGACACTCGTTCATTCAACAGTTGACAGTCATTCAAGTTATAGCGATCCAAACTAGCTAACGATGTGGGAACACAACCTCAACGAAATTAAAAAGGGTGAAATAACAGTACCTTTACCCTCCGCAGTTGATTGGGAGTATTATAATAACATTATTAATAATCAATACTCATCAAGGCATGGTGACAGACAGTTGTGCGAGCTGACAAACAATTAAAATAAAAAATACACACTTAGTCATTGTGCTTTGGAGTTTATTCAAAATTATAAATGAATGTGCTACTTGAATACATTAACTGGCACATTTGGTATTCTGTCAACACAGGCTTTGATCCTGAGTTTAGGTGTAACATCAGTAGCGAACAGCCAAACACATGCTGATAGAGTTTAGAGAATATTAAGAATTTAAACAAATGTACACAGGAAGATTCGTCGTCTTTTGGGAGGTGATGGAAACTACAGTCGTTGGCAGGATCACTCTGATTTCGTTTTCAGCTTATGTTCAAAACAATCACGTTTAAGCCAATGAATTAGTTTAGTCCGGTTATACATACAACCGCGAACAGCACATGTTGTCCCTGAGCTCCGTAACGACATCTCATAAAGATTTGCGTCTTTAAATAGTAAAATAATTCTCCGAAAAACAGCTAGCCTCTTCGCTAACTAACACACAAAATACTATTGGAATGCTACTTCCGCCGCCTCACCGGAAGTTTTACCCACTTTATTTTTTACAGGAGCGGCCCTCTGAAACTTGTGGATGAACTGCAAACGTTTTACGCGTCTATTGGCAATAGTTTCTTTATAAAGTGACATCGCCAACTACTGGCCAGGCAGCAGAATACAGCACCACACGTAAGCTATTTTTCTTGCATTCAGATCACCAAAATAACTTGTATAATCCATTTGCTGCTCTATGAATGACATTCCAGAGAGAAGATGGTCCCATCTTTGATATATGCACAAACATTCGACTGAAAACTCAGCAGTGTTAACAGTTTCATGTCCATCAGCAAATTAACAACTGTTCTCATGAAGTGTCCTTGATGACTTTAACAGTTTATGGTAACAGCTACACAGTGCTAAACAGCATTTTTTTCTGTCTTGTGAATGATTCCCAAGCTGTGAATGATTCCCAAGCTCAGATTCATTCACACACAGGTTAACTCAGAGTAAGCAAGAACAGATGCGCTCTTGAATGTTCATGTGTGAAGCCGCTGAAGCAGCAAACCGGGCCTGTTATCCTGCCCAATGCACATTTACATTTTTATAGCTGCAGTGCTGCTGGCAGTATTGCCAGGCAAAGGTATGCTGGGTATGAGCCAACTTAATTGTACCCCTTCTAGGTCCCTTCTGAGTAGAGTGCAGAGGATAACTTAAGTGGTAAACCTGATGTATTATCATGCATTAAGGGGATTACTGTATGATAAGACACTGCAGATATTAAAAGACTTCACTGTCAAGGTACGAACACAAGAGTTGCCAAGATAAGAAAGTGTTGACTAATGAGAAACTGACAGTCCTCTTGGGTTCAGGTAGCACCATTACTATAGACACATTCTCTATGATCCCAATCGTCGTCTGTACTGCCTGCTTTTCCTTATTAAGATGCCTTCGCTTGAATTCAAAGGACTAAATAATCCACAGCAGTTTAATGCCAGAATCCAAAACTTCAGGGCTCTATTTAATACATTATTCTTTTTTTTTTTTCTTGGATTTATTCTTTTCTACTTGGTTTTATATTCTAAACTCAAATTTAGATTTGATCAAATTTACTTTCTCAATTATTATTTTTTTTCATGGTTTAACTACTCTACCTGCTCCTCAATTATTCCCCATATTTATCGGACTGTCAAAATATTTGAGCAAATATAAAACTGGCTTGATATTGTATCTCTATACAAAGGCAACATTTATGGCAATGAATGCTTACTAGCAACATGACTGGACTAAGAAGTTTATCTTGCAGTGTGTGTGTACATTAATTAATATTCATGAGCTGAATTTCCTCTATACAGGGACACCATGACCCATCCATCTTCTTCCGCTTACCTCCAAAACTCATTCCAGCAACACCACTAGGCAGAGATTTGGTATAGAAGATGTTCAGCTTTGTCACACAGGTCTAATGCCTTCTCTGTTCTATAATAAAAATTGCCTCCATTATTTTTTGGCATTCAAGTGTGCCCACACTTCATGCTCTTGTGCATCTAATCATTAAAGATGCGGCTCATGGCCTTGAGGTCTTGTTAACATGTGCCACCATGTGAACATCTAGCCTACTTTTGCAAACAGAGTCTCCGGAGACCATTAAAAGTGGAAAAAGTTCTCTGCTCACCATCTGTATGATCTGATCAGTTTTGGCATGTCTTTTTGAAGACCTGTGTTGATCCCAAAACCAGATGGCACATTTTCACACTTTAAAAAACTTGACACTTGAGTTTGGCATCTAACCCATACAAATTTTAGGCCAATTTACAGTTTTTCTCAATTGCTAAAACACTAAAATCCATTGGCTGAACAAAGTTCTCAGTTGCCTGAACTCATTTAGCTAATTGTGAAGTCTGTTGTCAATACCGTAAACAATTTCTCATGGTAAAACACAATTTGCAGATCTCACTTAGACTTTTCAGCAAAACTCTGAACACATTTTCATTCTCAAAACACATTCAGCACTCCAATGCACATATCATCCATACTGGTAAACACAAGTGGCAACAATCAAATACAAATAGAAAACACATATCATTTGATTGAACACAACCACTCAAAACTGATTCAACCTGTTTCAAATGATGTGACACAACCAATATTAGCCAGTTCAGAGAGCAAACTGAACTTAGAGGTTGTTGAAGGTGGAAAGGAGAAAGTCTCAGAATGGATAGAAAAAACAATGTGAGAGGACGAGGACGTATGCGAGGTGGTCGACGAGGAGGAGGAGGGCAAGAAAGAGGAAGAGGAGGAGGAGGAGGGCAAGAAAGAGAAAGAGGAGGAAGAGGAGGGCAAGAAAGAGGAGGAGGAAGAGGAAGAAGAGGAGGAGGAGGAGGGGGGCAAGAAAGAGGAAGAGGAGGGGGGCAAGGGACAATATTGCTTGTGAAGTCGACGAAGTCCTCTGGCATGACCCAGGCCAAAGACAAGAAGCACATTGATCAGATGTTTACTCCTTTCATTTGTGTCGCTTATTTCATATATATCGTATACTGTAGTACTGTGCACTGCTGTAGACCGTACAATGAAAAAATATGATTTTTTTATATGGAATTCATTTGTTTTGACATATAGTTCTCCCTGAGAGCTATATGTTTTGAACAATGTGTTTTAAATTGTTTGGTGTATTGTTTACTGACTGATTGATAGTGTATAGCATTTTAATCACTTTGTTTATGATTTGAGAGCAGTGTTTGATTTTGAACACAGGTAAAACTGTTTTGAGGCGAAAGTTTCATTTTGCAAGAGGAATCAGAGGTTTTGTAAATAGTGCTTGAAGATAAGGTTTTGTGTTTAATGTTTTCAGAAAATGGAGCAATGTTTCAGAAATTGTGTTTTAGCAATTGAGAAAAACTGTAAATCACATATTAGATCTATAACATTGTTAATTTCAAAGTTCTTTCGATGTTACTGTAAAGGCCCTTCCACGTGATCCAAGTCAAAATTTCCAAATTCAGTGAACTGTGTCAAGCTACAGTCTATGCTCAGGTCAAATATTTCACACATCTGATGTTTTATGTAAATTGATAAATAATACAAAAAAGCTTTTCAGTGATGTCATCTGCAACATTTTTTAAAGGTAGTGTAGGTCAGAATTTTACAAAAACTTTTTTTCCAAATTTGTTTAAACTTTCTATATATATATATATATATATCACTGCATAATTAAAATCTAAGTACTCTGAAAAAAAGAGTATAAAAATCGAGTGACTCTAGACCGTTTAATCTGCACTAAACACAGCTCATTATTTCGAAACAACGGATTGGCTTAGGCGACTGTCACTCTCTCGCAACCATGGCAACCACCCTTTTGCCACACAGGACCTGCCCACTTGCGCTTATCCAGATCGTACCTGTTCGCATGCCCTTGATTGAGCTTGAAGATGCAAAACTCGACGCAAGTCCTCTTGTCTAAAAAGTGCTCCTTGCCCGGCACTTCGACTACCCCGTCCTCGGCCTCTACATCCTCGGACCCTAATAGCACGGCCTCTTGCACGACCTCCTCTGCTTCGCCCTCGACCACGAATCTGTCCTCAAGCTGACGATGCGGTACTTGCTTTCTTATACTGTCTATGGGTAACTTACTTGTCTCGGGAGTGTAGTCCTCATCAGAATCAACAATGCTTTCATCAAGCAAACTCTTACATGCAGTCAGAACACCCAGCCCGTTCTCATCCTTTAGCGTCATATAGAATGCTATATGCAAAAACGGCGCTATACTACGCACATGGCACCCTTTATCGTTAATATAACACGCGAACCCAAGACGTTATAAATCCTTTAGCGTGAATATGACACGCACACCCTACCCCACACCTAAACTTAACCCTCACAGCACGTGTTATATTAACGATAAAGGGTGCCATGTGCGTAGTATAGCGCCGTTTTGTCATATAGCGTTCTATATGACGTTAAAGGATGAGAATGCGTTGAAACACCATATATATGTTATGAATCTTACACGAAATTCATCTTCATCGCAGTGTAAATGATGGCAATGGAAAAACGTGTATCATGCAACCTGTTTTTAGCTTTGCCTTATAGATAACTAGCTCGTTAGTGAATCAATTAAATAAATATTGGGTAACACTTTAGAATACGGTTCCTTTGTTAATGAATAACTACACAAGAATTAATGAGTAACACAATATTAACAATCTAGTAACTATTATTAACTAACAAGAAACTCTGATTAATGAACTAGTAAGTAATAGCGCACAGACGAAAGTGGTAGTTCACTATTAAGTAATCAATAACTACTATTTTTTTAATACTTCCCAGAGAACTACTGAAAAAGTTTATTAATAATATAGTAACTACTATCAACTAAAAGAAACTCTTATTAACGAATTAGTAAGTAATAGCTCACAGATGAAAGTGTTACTACATACTTCTGCTGGAATTACTAATTATTTGGATTCGTATTATAAAGTGAAGATCATTGGAACTAACTAGTAATGACTCAAGTGTTACTAAAGACATTTTCTAAAAGTATACCAAAAGTTCACCAAAAATCTCAAACGTTTGCACAAATCATGACTAGATCATGTAGTAACACTTGAGTAATTACTAGTTAGTTCCAATGATCTTCACTTTATAATACAGATCCAAATAATTAGTAATTCCCACAGAAGTATCTAGTAACACTTTCATCTGTGAGCTATTACTTACTAATTCGTTAATAAGAGTTTCTTTTAGTTAATAGTAGTTACTATATTATTAATAAACTTTTTCAGTAGTTCTCTGGGAAGTATTAAAAAATAGTAGTTATTGATTACTTAATAGTGAACTACCACTTTCGTCTGTGCGCTATTACTTACTAGTTCGTTAATCAGAGTTTATTGTTAGTTAATAATAGTTAGTAGATTGTTAATATTGTGTTACTCATTAGTTCTTGTGTAGTTATTCATTAACGAAGGAACCGTATTCTAAAGTGTTATCATATATTGTAAGCTTTACCAATATGCTAGCTTGATAGTGAGTAATAAAATACAACTTATTTGTATCTTCATAATGATAGTTAGATTTTTTTTTATTTACATGTGTTTGTGACATGACGTCACTCCATGCACTGCCCTCCTTCCTTTCTGCTGGTCTCATGTAAATAATGCGTCTTCAGCTCAGCGGTCGGAGTCGCGCGTTCATGTGTTTTGGGGGCGTGGCTTTGGAAGGAGCCCAGAAGGGAGGGGGTGAAGTGAATGGAAATAATGAGCTGTCTTTAAAACAGTCGTGAGAGGTCTACAGACACTAAATTTTTTTACTTTTTTTTTCAGAGTACTTAGATTTTAATTATGCATTGATATATACAGAAAGAAATTTTGAAAAAAAGTTTTTTTTTTTTTTTTAATTCTGACCTACACTACCTTTAAATGTTCTACCTCAAAAAAGGTCAATGGTAAAATATGGTGAGTTGTAAAATGAGCCACTGGATGGCAACCAAGAATTAACTAATGCTTCTGCAAGAAGGGAGAAAAGAAATGAAAGCTTTAGCATAAGTTCTGCCAGGAAGACTTAATTACCGCGTCACGTGTTACCTTCAGGTTATCCAATCATGTTCTTATTCTTGTGGTATAAAAGATCGGTACTTACACATGTTTGAGTTCGCAGATGCCGACGCAACAACCTCCACCCTCCCCACCACCACCAGGTTGGTCCCGTCTACACTTCCCGGGGGGTCGGCTGCGCCCCTGCCTTCGTCTTCAGGCAGGAAATGCTGATCCGCTACCCTCGGATTACGATCTATGGACGGGGCCTACGCCAAAGAACTTTGAAAATAATTACTTGCTGGGCTGTCAATAAATGGATGCTTTGTTACATCATTTTATCTCCCGAGTCTTTCTGGTAGAACTGATGTGAGAGATGAAATGAACTATCAATGCTTCAGATACATTAAAATGAAACAAATCACTCATCAGGAATTCTGCATCAGCTCCAGTCACAACTTTTTTCATTTCGCAGAATGACTCAGGTGTGAGTGCACTACTCTAGATTCAATAAGTGCATAACTCATTCATGAGAAATCTAATCATACAAAGTTGGTATAATTTGTGTTATACAAGTAGGTCAGTGATGTGATGATAATCATTTAGGTGAGTGTTGGTCTAAATAAACTGCTTTAAAGTTTGGCGTTTTTTGTGAGGGTATAAACGTATGAAACAAAGCATATGCTATACCATAATGCGTGTGTCCACTGGCTCGGAGGAGAGAAGCGTTTTCAGTTCATTCCACCAGGAATCTCAACTTCCTTAGAAATCAATTGAAAATGCTGGCTCTGCTCCGCTTGCTCCATGATAGTGGACATGCACCATAACACAGAGGAAATTATTTCACTTAGAGGACACCTGCAGACCCTTATGAGTTTGTGTCAGTAAGATATTTAATAATTTTTTTAAGACATTGCAATGATGAAAAATGGACAGAATTTTTAAAAATACTTTTTACCTTGACAAATATATTGGGAACAAACAAACAAAAAAATAATCACATTGACATTTTATAAAAAGTTTTTTTCTAACAATACAGGTTTTTTTTCAATTGCTAAACGACAGTGAGCACAACTGGAGCTAAATTTGCAAAACTCTAACTACAGTCTGCATTACCAACAGTCAGCTGAGCTAAACAGTTCACATCACCTGCTAAACTCATTCCAAGCAACACAAGTCTTAACATGGGTCAAAACAGGCTCAATGCAGCCAAACATATGCACAACCCTCACTGAAATGACAACACACTGTCACTCAGAACACACTGAGAGTAAAAACACTAGCATCAAACACCAATACAGAAAATACAAACTTTTCATCTTTACAGTTTGAACAATTTCAGTGACTTCATACTATTTTCTATGATTTATTTAAAGCCACACTGCGGAACTTTTGGCCACTAGAGGCGCGCGACCTGTTACTTTCACGTCTAGCGTCCCTAGAGGCCACAAGCTCCGCAGCACTTTCGCAAATTAAAGTCAACAAACAGTCAGCCGGTCAGTCTCTAGTGTCTTTAGATTGTGTGTGCTTGCAGTGTTTGAGGCGAGCAGCCTTGCCGCGCTCAATTCCCTTATGGCAGTCTGCTGAGAGAGAGCGAGTCGGGTGAGCCCTGTGGCGTTTATCATGTCTGTGAGTGAATGCGTCACGATTCCTGTCTTGTGTTTTCCTTGTCTTATGTGGACTTTATTTATTTCCTGTTCCATGCCATGTTTTGTAGTCCTTTGTAGTTTTTCTTGTTGATGAGTTGCCCCAGGTGTTTCTGATTAGCCACGCCCCCTAGTTCCCTTGTTTAGCTTGTTTGTCTGTGTATTTTAACCTCTGTGCTTCAGTTGTTGTGTGTCGGTCGTTGTTTAACTATAGCTTTGTTTCTGGGTTTTGTTCGGAGTTTCTTTGTTTTCCTTGGATTACCCTTTTGTTTGTTTATTATTATTATTATTAAAACTTTTGAATGCATTTGGATTCCTCCTTGCCTCACCGTTACAGAATGTGGGCACGGGACAGAGGGCACATTCACTGCACTGAAAAAACCGTCTGCCAGAGCTGACAGTAACGTTATGTGTGTTGGTTTATTTTTACAGAAACCGTGGGACATGTGGTGTGTAGTGTTTGTTTGTACTACTACTGAGTCATGGGCATGTTCACTACATTTAAAGTTTTTTTCTATTGCTAAATGACAGTGAGCCCAACTGGAACTTCATGTGCAAAACTCTAACTACAGACTACTCTAACTCTCTGCTTGAGAGAGGCAGGGTTACAGAATTACAGTATGTACTTTTACGTAGTTTCTATATTTTTTCTCATTACTGTACTACAGACTATTGAAGCAAACTGCTAATTTTCAATTGTTATGTTGTAAAAATTTAAATATATCAAATGAAAGAATGTCACTCTTTTCTTTGGTAAATGGTAGGTGTCTTGCTCATGGACACCTTGACACTTGGTCAGGTGGAACCGAGGATTGAACCACCAACCTTTCGGTTCGTAGACAACCCACATGAACCACTGAGCCACTGCCGCCCAATTAGAGCAATTAGAGCAAAAAAATCTTTAAAGAAAATATTACTTTGTATGAAGACACTGAAATTGTTGAAACTGTAAAGATGAAAAGTTTGTATTTTCTGCGTTCTGAGTGACAGTGTGTGTTATCTCAGTGAGGGTTGTGCATAGTGTTGTGCACACTGAGCCTGTTTTGAGCCATGTGTTAAGAGTTGTGCTCAGGTGACTGTTGACAGTGCAGACTGTAGTTAGAGTTTTGCACATTTAGCTCCAGTTGTGCTCACTGTCGTTTAGCAATCGGAAAAAAAAAAAAACTGTAATGTAACATTACATTTGACATGAGTCGATTTTAATAGTGCAAGCCCTGCACTGAGGCGGGCTGTGTTTGTGTGTCGAAATGAACACTGGGCTGTGGGCATTTTATTACACTCATAACACCATCGGCTATGGCCGGAATACCAGAAAATACTACACTGCTCATATGAATTTATCTGGGTTACCTTCGAAACGGAAATTTGTGTGCGGGCAAGCGTCAGCATTGGTCGAGAGCACCCTTCCTCATCCTTAGCTCACGCCAGCGAGCGAAGCGAAAGCTGGACCAATGTGTTAATCCTCGTCCTGGCTTTTAATTTGTCACCCTCCCCTTTTCTTTTATAGTTTCCTCTGATAAAACCATTGCCTTCTTCCTTGTAGATGTTGTTCGGCCATGACGAAAACATCCAGACGGCAATCAAACGCGAGTTGAGCACTAACGTCAGAATCTGAGGAAGTTTGGGGTGGTGGAGGAAGTGACGTATGCCGTAAAGCGGTCGAATTTTGTAGTTCTTTTTGTGTTTGGGTTCCTACCCAAAACCCGAAGTTACAAAGTGCTAGTAAAAGCGATACAGACACCTTCAGGATACGGCAGACGCATCATTCAACCTATTGTAAGTTGATGTACCATCTCAATGGATTTTGGTAATATATTATAAAGGTTGAAGAGTTCCACAATGTGGCTTTAAATTTTTAGAACATTACAATCCTTTAAGGTATATGAAAAATAGCAGTTTGCTTCAATAGTCTGCAGTAATTTACAGAATTACTGTAGGCTAATGAGAAAAAAAGGTAGAAACAAAAAGTACAGACTTTAATTCAAACAAATAATTGAGGGGCTAACCCTGCCTCTCTCCAGCATCAGGACACAGGTGTCGGCCGCCCAGCTGAAGTGAGCAGTTTGTGAAAGGCACAAGGCTGAAATCCATTCTGTTTTGAATGCGTGGAACAAAGGGCTGTAAATCCACAGTGTTTTGCAGGTTGTGGTTAAAGTCATGGGATACAGTTGTGCTCAGAATTAATGGGACCCCTGGTAAATATGATGAAAACTGGCTGTAAAAAATAATTCTGCATTGTTTATCCTTTTGATCTTCCATTCAAAAAATTGGCAAAATTCTAACCTTTTATTGAAGCAAAAGAATTGAAAGTGGGGGTAAATCACACTATGAAATAAATGTTTTTTATTTCATAGTGTGATTTTTTTTTTTTTTTCACCCAGATTTTAAGAAGGTGTGGAAACTACTTCTGAAGTTACAGTAAAACACAACTTGGGGGCGCTCAAACACAAAACGGTCTTGCCGAGGACACACACACTACAGCAAAAAAGAAGTACACTACACTGCCGGGAAGAAATACGACAAGGAAGATGCAAGGCAAGATGAATGTAGATCCGCGGGTCTTGTTGGTGTCAGAACATAAAGAACTATATGACGAACGGGACAGAAACTATAAAATAGGACTATTTCTGTTTTACATTTGTCACGTCTACCTAGCTCACAGTAGCAGTGACATAGGGGAGACCACACCGTTTGTAAAGTTAAATCAAAAAATAGTTTATTTAAACATTAAATGATGAAATGAAATCATAATTCAAATCAAGAAATGCATTAAGTCAGTGTATGAGAAGCAATAGAAAACTATCAAAATGTAGTTCAGATCAGTAAAGTGTAAACTATGTGTAATGCAAACAAAGCAAAAGAAAATATGGTGGAGTTGCTGCCTGCCTGGCAGCCCGAACAAAGCCGAGACGCACAGCACAGAGCAGACCAAACAACTGGCAGGAGATGCTTTTAAACAGTCCCTCCCATCAGCTGCTGTCTGGTGGACCGGAAACAAACAGCTGGGAGTAGAAGACCGGCCCAACATCTTCTGTTCATGGTGAAGTGAGCACACCTAGCACAGCAAAGTCAGGCATGACATCACTCCCCCCACAAAACAGAGACCCATATGGGACTCTGTAATTTTAACTTCTACTCATCACTCCCATTTCCCATAATCAATACTAAAAATAAAAAACCCAATAACAAATTATATCAAAAAACTTTAACTAAACCCATTACCCTTTTAACCAGTACCACAAAAGACTAATGTTAAATTTAACCCCACTCTATTTTACCCAACTCTTCAATACAACAGCCACTACAAAAAAAAAAATACATCAAACTCCTCCCCCCACCCCCCCCGATCCCCTCCCACCCCCTTCCTTCCCACTCAGCAAATCCTGGCGCCTGGATAGCAATTTAAGAATGGAAAGACCGGAGACAAGAGAAAAGAACCAGAGACTGGAGAAAAGATAGACACCTCTTAACAGTCATCAAGACCCGTGACAAGGCATCAGCCATAACGTTCTCGGACCCCTTGATGTGTCTAATAGTTAGATTATAAGGCTGTAGAAACAAAGCCCAACGCATAAGGCGCTGGTTCGCATTCTGAAGAGAAGAGAGGAACGTAAGAGGATTGTGATCAGAAAAGACCACCACAGGGTGTAACCCTCCACCAACATAAACATCAAAATGTTGGAGTGCCCAAATAAGGGCCAGTGCCTCCTTTTCGATTGTCGAATAGTTAAATTGATGACAATTAAACTTCCGAGAAAAATAGGAAACTGGTCTATCTATTCCGTTGTCATCTCTTTGAAGGAGAACAGCACCTGCCCCTACCTGGCTGGCATCCACTTGTAACTGGAAAGGCTCCTCAAGCCTAGGAGCAGCCAAAATAGGTGCAGAACTCAGAAGAGACTTGGCGTTTTCAAATGCGTGTTGACAATCAGCAGTCCAATTGAATTTTACTGAACCCTTCAACAGGTTAGTTAATGGGGCAACGACAGATGAAAAATTGCAACAGAAGTTCCTGTAATACCCTATCATACCAAGGAAGCGCATTAATTCTTTTTTAGTGACCGGACGTGGGAATTTGTCAATGGCCAGGACTTTTGCTCTCACTGGGCGAACGTTGCCCTGTCCTACCACCTTTCCCAAATACACCACTGTAGCCCGTGCAAACTCGCACTTTGCCAAGTTTACAGTAAGGTTTGCAGCGCCAACCGTTCAAATAATGAACGTATACGGGCAAGGTGGACCTCCCAGGTGTCTGAGTAGCAGACCACATCATCAATATACACAGCGCACCCTCCAGTCCTGCAACAACTCGATTCATGAGCCGCTGGAAACTGGAAGGAGCGTTTCGCAAACCAAAAGCCATCCTCGTATAAGAATACAGTCCTGACGGCGTAATAAAAGCAGAGATCTCTTGTGCCCTAGGAGTAAGAGGAACTTGATAGTAACCTTTAAGCAAGTCGAATTTGCTCACATAACGAGCCGCACCAACTTGATCAATACAATCCTCTATCCTAGGCAATGGATACGAATCTGGTTTCGTTACACCATTCACTTTTCTGTAATCCGTGCAAAATCTGTACGTATGATCAGGTTTTTTAACTAATAAACAAGGTGAAGCCCAGCTGGAATATGACTGTATGGCCAGACCATTTTCTAGAAGATATTGGACGCTATCATCCAGACTTTTACGCTTATCAGCACCTGTACGGTAAAACCTCTGACGAATTGGCTTTGCATCACCGACTTCTATGTCATGCTCGATTACAGTTGTGCATGAAGGAGTATCTGAAAAAAGACATGGAAATTCAAGGATTAATGCTTTCAATTCTGATTGCTGTTGGAAATCCAAATGATTTAAAACTCCCTCTAAATTTCCCAACGTCTCTGAATTATTTAGACGGGCATGCAGCATGGAATCATCCGGGCCCTGCACATCATCTAATTCGGAAAAAGGTACAGATGAGCCTGCCGCGACCAAGACAGCTGATTGATCCTTACCACTAGGTGACTGTGATGATGCATAATATGGCTTAAGTAAATTGATATGACATAACTGCGTTGCTCGCCTACGATCAGGTGTAGCAACAACATAATTTGTCTCTGACACTCGACGAACCACATTGTAAGGTCCAGAGTATTTTGCCCCAAAAGGCGAACCAGGTATAGGCAACAATGCCACTACCTGATCCCCTGGACTAAAGACACGAGCTTCTGCTTTACTGTCAAACTTACGCTTCATTTTTCTTTGGGCATCAGTCAAATTTTCAGTTGCCATTTTACATGCTAACAGTAACCTGCGGCGGAAACCATACACATAAGTAGACAAACTCTTTGGTGGTTCACTTGAATCTAGATCACATGACAAGACAGACAATGGTGTACGCACCTTGTGACCAAATACCAACTCATTTGGGCTAAAACCTGTGCTTTCTTGCACAACCGCTCTAGCCGCCAACAATAGCCATGGTAAACCATCCTCCCACTCCCTTTTCATCTCTATGCAATAAGCTCGCAACAGAGACTTAAGAGTGGCGTGGAAACGCTCTAAAACCCCTTGACTTTGCGGATGGTACGCGCTGCTCAAATTGTGTTGGATACGCAGCTGTTTCAAAGCTGCTGCGAACGTTTTTGATGTAAAATTGGAACCCCGATCACTTTGAATGACTTTGGGTAAACCAAATATTGAAATAAACTGCGACAATGATTTCACCACAGACCTTGTCGTAATAGTCCTCAAAGCAAACGCAGCCGGATAACGAGTCGCTTGGCACATGATGGTGAACAAATAGATACAGCCTGATTTTGACTGGGGCAACGGACCCACACAGTCAATAATCAAATGCTCGAAAGGCTTACCCACAGATGCAATGGGCTGTAAAGGCGCGGGCTTAACAACAGCATTTTGCTTACCTGCCACCTGACAAACATGACAAGTTTGAACAAACCGTGCAACGTCTCTCTTTATTCGCGGCCAGTAGCAATGTTGTAACAATTGATTGTATGTTTTCTTTACACCAAAATGACCCGCTGTTTCCCCATGAGCTGTTTTCAGTGCCACATCACGAAACTTTTCAGGCATCACCACCTGCAAAATTTGATCTCTCACATCATTTCCCACAGAAGGTGACCACCTTCTCAGCAACATGCCATCCTTCACAAAATAGCCACGATCCAAACAGTCATCTCTTGCCCACTCAAAATATTTCTGTAAGCTCAGATCACTCTTTTGAGCCTCAGCAATGTCAACACGAGACAAAGGCACCGGTAACTGTGGAATAAATAGCTGAGCAGACGTATGCTGCGATACATCAGACAAATTTACATCCTGCTTATGCGCCATAGCGCGCGTCACAGCACATGCCGTAAAAACGTCTGGAAAATCTTTTTGACAGCTATCTGCCTCATTCAAAAAAGAAACTCTGGTATTAACCACAGGAGGTGGTGAAACTTGATCAGGAAACACACGGTCATGAGCAAAATTATTACCCACAATCAGATCAATTCCTTCTATAGGTAGAGAAGGACGCACCGCAATGTTTACTTCACCGGTCACAAAACCAGAGAACAACTGAATTTTGTGCAGCGGCACTGGAAATGACTGAAGACCAATTCCCCGTATCAACACGCAATTGCCTGTATCAGACTCAGACGAAAAGGGCAAAACAGATTGACAAATAAAACTCTCTGATGCACCCGTATCACGCAGAATCTTTACCGGAACACGATGTGCGTTTCCAACTAATGCCACAAAACCCTCCGTGACAAACGGCGCATAATCCTTTATAATGGAAACAGGAAAATCAAACTCATTACTTGGTACATTGCTCAAACATTTTTCAGTTGACACTGTACATTGTGCACTATCCAATGTCTTTGCATGAGTTTTATTATCTTTAATCCCTGAGCGCGCACCAGGAATAGATGAGGTGCAGAGGCCAACTTTACCTCCATCTCCTTTCACCCTATTTCGCTCCAATAACACCGGACAATTTTTTTTCCAATGATTTTTTCCAAAACAGTAGTTACAATCTGTCTTAAAATCGAAATCCGATGGTTTACCCCGTGCACTCGAATTTGAACACCCAGATGTATCTGTATTCACTCGACTATAGCGGCGTTCTTTGTAACTACTATTAGGACGCGGACAAAAATCGCGCACTGAAGACTTGTGTATCAGAGAAAAATTGTCAGCAAGGACAGCGGCATCTGCTGCTGTTTTCACCTGATGTTCACTAATATAAGTGGTAATGCGATCAGGCAAAGTGTTCTTAAGTTGTTCTAATATCATAAGATTACACAACTCATCAAAAGAATCAACCTCTTCTGCTGTAAGCCAACGATGAAAAAAACTAGTCAATTCCCTAGCCCACTCAGCATAAGTTTGCTTGTCTGATTTTTTCCATGATCGAAAACGCTGTCTATAAGCCTCAGGGATTAATTCGTAGCACTTTAACACAGCTGACTTAACGGATTTATAGACTCTTTTTTCAGAAGACTGTAAAGCTACAAATGCCTTCTGCGCACGTCCAGTTAACGTAGTTTGTAACAATACAATTTTATCCTCATCACTCCAATTTTGTTCAGTGGCAATATTTTCAAATAATGAAAAAAACACATCTGGATCATGCTCATTAAATTTAGGCAGGAACTTGATCATACTGGCCAGGCCGACCTGCTGTGATTTTCCAAGCTTACCTTCAGCTGCTAATTGTAGCCTCTCTAAATTTTTAAGCTTTTCCCATTCCAATTCACGATCCTTGTCTTTCTCTGCCGCTTCTAACCTTATACGGTCCAATTCGTTATCAAGCTTTCTCTGAGTCAACTCATCATCTAATTTTTTCCTTGCTAATTCTTGTTCCAATTCCAACATCTTTTGTTCCCTTTTTAACTCATGTTGCAATTTTAACATTTCAACTTGCTGCTCAAATGTTAACACACTGAGTTTTCTATGCGAGAGGAACAAACCTGGCGTGGGCTCACCATCTGAATCCGACCCTGACGCACCCTCACTATCGCGCGCCGGCAATTTCTCATCAGGTAAAACCTTCTTATCAATCAAAACACGCACGAATGAAGTCAACCAGCTCACACTTCTTAGCTACCTTGGCAATGTTATATCAATTCCATAGTGCTCAGCCACACCATGCAATTTGTTTAACACTCAAAGCCGCGAGCAAGACCACCGAAGGAGCAGCTAAAAACGCCTCAAGTTTACTCATTATCACGGCTAAATTCAACCAGTCTCCAATCAACAATCAAAAAAGGCTATGGTCTATATAAACACCCCTAGCAATACATCTAACCAAATCAAAACTGGGCTAATACCTCAACGTCTTTCAGGTTACTATTACAAAAACCAACCACACAAAGTCAAAAAGCGAAGCGAAAATAGTTTACATTACAGGACAACTACGGAGTTTTCCCCCTAAACATTTACCCCCCTACTATTCTAACCTATCTTCACACTAAGTCCAAGAACAAGGCTCATTTACTCACCCAATACCGATGGAGTCGTACTGTCCCGACACAACAAGTCAATTCAGCCGGCGTGCTCCACGCGGTGCCCTCGTCCGGACTTCAGTGACCAGGAACCTAAACCAGCAACGCATACGCGCACTAATTGGGGATAAAACAGGCTCCGTAAAATGTCATCCTGCAACACAAATCAGCTTAACACACACACTTCGCCAATCAAACTCATCAAACAAAGTAATGGTTGGAAAAACTGCCTCTATATTTGCGCAAAAACTCCACCAAA